GAGTTCAGCCCTTTCTGTGTCCCCTGTTTGCATTTCACCATCTTCTCCTCTGAGTGACCCCACGGTTTCTTTGTTCTTCCTTTTGCTACGAACATACCCATAAAAGCCTTTTTTGTTGCTTTTAACCTCTCTAGCAAGCCTGAGTTCATTTTGTGCTTTAGCTTTTCTGACTTTGTGTCTACACGTGCTGGCTATTTGTTTGAATTCCTCTTTGGTGGTTTCCCCCCTTTCCCATTTTTTGTACACATCCTTTTTAAATCTTAACTCAGTTAAAAGTTCTTTAGATAGCCACCCTGGCTTCTTTAGGCACCTTCCATGTTTCCGTCTCATTGGTATTGCCTGACGTTGTGCTTTTACTATCTCCCTCTTAACAAACTCCCAGCCATCTTGAACTCCCTTTCCTTTTAGTATTACTGTCCATGGGATCTCACCCAGCACTTCCCTAAGCTTTATGAAGTTGGCTTTCTTAAAGTCGAGAAATTGAGTCCTAGTATGCTTGGCTGCTCCTTTCCGCTGTATAGTAAACTTCAGAAGAGCATGATCACTCGCGCCTAATGATCCTTCCACTTCTACCCCACTAACCAGGTCATCAACATTGGTTAGGACCAGATCTAAAATGGCTGTTCCTCTTGTTGCTTCTCCCACTTTCTGGACAATGAAGTTGTCTGCAAGGGCAGTGAGGAATCTGTTTGACCTTATGTATCCGAGGAAATATAAAGTCCATTAAAAGTTCTTTAAAAATAGAAGAATTTGACTGTGAGCTATGTCAAATTATGACTATTTGGGGAGCAGGGTCACTTTTTGCTTTCTTTGACATTTCTGATGACCTGGGGATTCTGGTCAGACAGGAGGTCACTTAAACGCTATTCCTCCGTCCTCTCTGGTCCTTTTCGTACAAGTGGCGTCATGAAAGAGGCTCTGGTATCTGGTGAGGAGGGAGAGAACCCTGAACACCACCTTGAGCTTCGGGGAGAAAAAATTGGGATATAAAAGATATAAAATACAGTCCTAATACAGAGCCAGTGTGGGACTGACCCCTGCCTCTCAGCCTCACCGCCTTCGCAGGGTTGTTGTGAGGGTTAAATGAGAACCAGCGTATCCCACCTTGAGACAAAGATGGGGAACAAATGCAATAAATAAATAAAATAATAAAATAAACAATACTGCACTATTGTAAGTTGCGAGTGCTGGAACCCATGTGGAGTCCAGAAGGTTATAGCAATGTCGCCGGGATGCCTGTCTGACCACCTTTGCTTTGGGGATTACCGGTAAATGAGGAAGGGGAGAACTGCCTCACATGTTACCTTGAGCTCCTCAGAGAAAAGGGTGAGGCAGAGGTTTTTAAACAGATCTCTGCTGGCCGCCTGTCTGCGGGTTGGGCTAGATGACCCTTGGGGAACTCTTTCAACTCACAATTCTGTGATTCTCTAAATGCAATAACTAAGACTAGGCCTTGGCTCTGTCCAGTGACAGCGCCTTTCTCCCAACCTAGAGGCTTGTAAGAAGTGACACAATTTTGTTGCTTGCCAGGGGGGGGGCACACACCACATTTTTCAAAACGGGTTTTGGGGTGAAGAGTGGGGTGAGGTGAAAGGAAAGGCAGCCCCCCATAACTCCCCCCATAAGCAAGAAGGCCGCTTTTGCAGTTGCAGCCACCGAAGGGCCATAATTCTGATCTCTGCCTCTTTTCACCTTGAAGTGACAGGAAGCCTTCTTGGCGCAATGCTCTGGTTTCTATGGAGACGAGGGTCCTCCAGGCGATGGGATGGAGCCCGGCTGAATTGCAGGGGGGGGGGAAAGAGACGTGGAGGTGAGGCAAACAGCTGGTCTTGGGCAAAAGTGGGGTGCGCTTGGCACAGCTGGCACATTATCCTCCTTTTTGTTTTGCCAACTGCAGTCAGGGATTTGTTCCAGTAACGCAGCACCTGTTTCAGATGCCAAAAGGGATCTGCAGACGGCGTAGAAATTATTGTACATGCATTCACTCCCCCCCCCCCCGCTGCACCAACTGCAGTTAAATCTGTGGTTCCTGAAGCTGGGATGAACTGACTTTATTGTCGTTGTTGCTTTGCATTGGTGTACCTTTTGTTTTTATAATACTGAATTTGTTCTGCGTTTGCTAAATCGTTGGTTTTTGTTGTTTGTAGATTCACTGGCAGGCTCTGCATTTTGTACATTTGTATTTCCAGTGCTCTCAACTTGGATGTTTTGAATGTTTGCTGTCAGCCTCTTTGGGCTCAGCTCATTCTGGAAAAGCAGAAGATAAGTAAAATCAACCAACCAACCAACCTGGTTCCTCCTTAAAAAGCTGACAGAAAGAGGTTTTCTAAACATAAAAAGCTAGAGCCAGAGACATCAAAATGACTGTTTCTCTTTCAGAAGTCCACTTAGCTCTGAATAGAACTTACCCAGAAGGACCAAGGCATGATGGGAATATCCCCACCTCACTCTGAAATCCCCAGCATCTGGTAGGCAGGCAGGCAGAGGATTGACGCCAAAAAAACCCCACCACACATTTAAAGCACACCCAATGCACTTGTCATCTCTCCCAAATAATCTGGGGGAACTGTAGTTTGTTACAGGCTCTGAGAATTAGAGCTCTGTGAGGTCTAAACTACAGCTCCTGGGATGCTTTGGGGGACGTCATGTGCTTTAAATGTGCACTGGGTCTGCCCAGGGTCACTGAAGCACCAGATATCAATGCTGCATGGAGCATGAATGTACAGTATGTCTCTGGGTTTGTTTGCTTGTTTGCTTGCTTTAATTTTACAACTGCTAGTTGCTTTGAACTGCAGTTTGTTAAAGGCACTACTACAATTCCCAGTGTGGTTTAACAGCCAGTCTCTCTTCCCAGGGAGCTCCGGGAACTGTAGCTCTGGGAAGAGGTCTCCTAACCATTCTCAACACTCTTAGCAAACTGGTTCCCAGGATTCTTTGAGCGAAGCCAGGACTGTTTAAAGTGCTTTCAATGCACAGTGCAGATGTACAGTCTGAATGCACAAACTGCTGAGCTATCTATGCCTCACCCCAGGGCAACTATTTGTGCACCCCTCAGTCCTGCCTGCTCTGACTGGCAGCAGCTCCCCAGGATCTCAAGCAGAGAGGAGGACTTCCACACCCCCTGCCAACGGATCCTTGTTAGCTGGAAAGACCAGAGGCTCACCTGGGGACCCTCTGCATGGAAAGTGGCTGCCCCCACCCTGGGCTCCATTCCCCTCCTCACGGGGAAAGAAGGGACAGACAGGGCCGTGCGGGTGGAGGAGTTTAATGCAAAGGCAACACCATCGTGGCGAAGAGGAAGGGAGGAAATATATTGCACCAGAACACAGGACAAACAGAGGGAACAGACCCCCCCCCCACGAGATGCCCGAGGAAACATGGAACAAAGATGGCAAAAAGAGCTTGGAAGGGAGACGAGAAAGGACCCAGCCTGGGACGGGAGAAGCCTCAGTCCTGGGCCACAAATAGCTCTTGTGCTGCCTGCATGGCCAGCGTCCAAAGCAGCAGCCCCCACATCTCCCCTGCCCCATAAGAAAGAGGAAAGGCGTCATTGAAAGCTTCCTGCTCCGTTTAGCCTGGAGGAGCAACAATTACGAGGCCATCCCATCACCCTCTTCCTCTCTTTGAAGCAAAAGCGACCAAAGGGTCTTGTGGCACCTGGACGGCTAACAAGAAGGGCATCATGGCAGAAGCCCACTTTGTCAGATGCCCTTCTGCCTTCTCATGGGCAAGACGGGTCAGTCCCCATGCAAAAGAGCAAATGGCCCGGGATCTGGCAGCAGGAATGGCAACAGCCAGTGCTCTTACTCTAGGGGAAAAGTTGGTACTGCCAGCACAAAAAGACCTGCCAAGATCCATCAAGCAGAGAGGACTCTGAAACTGCCCTCAAGGGGGCCCATTATATAGAGTAAAGGAACATCAAAGGAACCATACAGCATGCCATGACTTTGAGTTAAATAAAAATGTTGATTAGCATTTTGTGTTAATTAGCAAATGGTGTCCATTAGCTTACCAATGCCACACTACCTGTGCTATTGGTGACTGTTTCTTGGGGATGTTTCCTTGCCCAACTCACAAGGAATTAGAAACACACACACACACACACACACACACACACACACCCCTCGAGAAGAGAGCATTTTGGAGCTGGTTATGTGATCAAACTCTTGCCAACTTCCTTGAGAATTTCCAAATGATGACCACTGCAGTCTGGGATGGCTGCTACAACAGGTCCCATATGCAGACAGACCCTGTGTTTGCAGTCAGCCTCAGGTGGAAGGCATCACTCCCCATCTGCTAGCCTGTCCCTTATATAGAGACCCAAGAGATCACTTTCTGCAGAGAAAGAAAGAAGGGCATTTTCAAGAAAGAAGGGCATTTTCGCTGGCCAGGTTTAATTCAAATCCATCAGACCCCCTTTGGGGAAGGTTCTCAGGCAGGGTGGAAGGAGAAAGAACGTGCCCATGTGAAGACCACCTGGTGGAAACCCTCACACATATGGTTCTCAGTTGTAAACTATACGCTGATCTCCGCCAGCAATTTCTAGATCAACTCTGCATCCCCAAATGGAAACCAGAGTCAGAGGTCATACATTTTCTATTACTGGGGAACGATCAGGAGCTCACCAAATTTAGTGGCTAAATATCTCTATTTGTTTTTTTGTAGTTGAAATACTCTGCAGACGTCTGATCTCCCTGGAGACCTGGAGATGTGACGATAGACTGCTCTGCCTCCTTTCTTTTAGCAAATGTTTTGTGCCACTGGGGAAGTGGTAATTCTGTATTGATTTGTTTTGGATGTTTGGATGTGATGCCAATAAAAGGTCTGATGATGATCATGACTTTCTGAAACCTTTCTTCACAAAAGCAGACACACCCAGGCAGACATGGTCTGGTTTCTTCTGAGTGACAATACTAGCCTCATAACACAGAGACCGCCCCTCTATGTACAGACTGGGGGGGAGGGCGGGAATCAGGAAAAAGAGATATAAAGGCTATAAATTATGGTGATTCAGAGGTTTAATTTGAACACAAGCTGGATTTGAGTTTGTTGGTGTCTCTGGTAACCTGTCTCTTATATTATGGGCGCATGATCCGTGTTCTTTTATTGGTACTCTTGCTGTGGGTTTGTCATGGCCTTTGGCAAGAACAATAAACTTATATTGAATTGAATTGAATTTCCGCCTTTATCTGCCTGCCAAGTAAGATCCCCCTTAATGCATCTGACAAAGAGAAAGCTTTGTGCCATGATAAATTCGTCAGCCGCCTAAGGTGCCACCAGACTCTGTGTTTTGCTTTTGCTGCAAGAGCTTGTTGCAGAGAGAGGATGGAGCGACTCTGGTCCTTGAGGGAGATCCTGAACCAACAGGACAGAAAGACGCTCCTTCTCAAAAAGGTTTTGAAGCAGAGGCCGACCTGCCAGGGTTGCTGCAGCCACCCATTTCCTGCATTGCTGGGGGCTAAATGAGACGGCTTCTGATGTCCTTCCCAAATCAATCAATCCATGCGATGCACTAGGAGTGCCAACAACAATTGGCCACACTAAACGTTACAGGATAAGAGGGCATTGCTTTTTGGGTGGGACAATCGTACACATTGGAAATATTGCAGGAGTCTGAGCCTGCTGCCAGGTGGAGGCAATTAACAAGCCCTGGGTGCAGGAACGCTGCCCCCCCCCCAATTCTGGCTGCTTTGAGTAATTCAGAAAAACATGAGCTGCGATTCCTGTGTTGCAGGGGTCCAACTCTACAATTGTGTGAGTCTACAATTGTGTGATTCTACAGCGGGGAGCCTCTGGAAAGCAAGATACATTCTGAGATCTCAGAAGGCTCATTCTCCCCTCTCCCTGAAGGCAGGATCAGCAGGGCGGACTTTGCTGCGAGGCTGAAATGGGAAACAAAACGGAGAGCAGGCTCTGGGGGCAGCCTCAAAACGGGGCCTCCTGGCTCAGAACCCAGCAAATTGAGACAGAGATAAGCAAGGCCAGAGGTGTCAGGGTACCCAGCAAGTGGGGAAGAGCAGGTCACCCCAGGACACCCTTCCCCACTGCTGGAGACGTCGCGGTTGTGGAACGAGGGCAGGTGGCTGGGCGGTAGACTGTCCATTGTTCTTGCTTAGGAGCAGGAGGACTAGAAGGGGTGCCTCTCCTCCCGATGTTCTGCACTCCAGACATTCAACATGCCAAGTCTCTTTGGATCAAATGAAAAATAAAGAATATAACAGCATCCCCTTTGCTCCCACAGCAGCCAGCAGCCAGAGTCCTTTTCACAGAGTCTGAACGGCAACTGGATACAGCAAGGAGAGGTGCTCAGCACCTTTGACGGGCAGCTCTTGAGCCGTGTAGAAATGGATGACTTCGGGGACGCTGTCGAAGGGGGCGCTGTTCTGGCCCAAGACATACTTGCTCTCCTTCGTCCGGGTGAATTTCATGTGCATGAAGCCTTGGCTGCTCCTGCCAGAGAGAGAGAGAGAGAGAGAGAGAGAGAAGTCAGAGTCTGCACCCCACACTGTTCACAGCGCCCAGCAGCTGAGGGTCTTGGGTTTAATTTCACTGGGGGGGTTGGAGGAGGTGCTGGTCCTCATGGCTTTGGAAGCTAAGAAAGAAAACACAGCCAAGTTGTTTCCAGAGCTGTCCTGCTTTCATTCACAAAGGAAGCTGCTTTGCTCAGACCACTCCCCCCCCCATGTCAAACTGAAAATACCCTCCAGGGGTCCTGATTTTCCAGAGACAGTCCTGGAACTACAGAACCCATCCCAGTTTCTGATTTGATCCCAGAATGTCCCGCTTTTCCTTTTTCCTCCCCTCCACGTCTTGGAGAACAATTAAAAGTGTTTTGTGTTTGTGTGCATGCGCAAAAACAAGAGTCCTGTTTACAAGGAAAATAAGGCACCTACATCAAATGAAAGAAATGGTGAAGTTGGCACACAAGGCCTTTCCTATAATTCTGAAGGAAAATGTCTCCAATCCACTTTAAATTCTTAAATGGCAACGCGTCAGCAACCAACCATTTATTAGGAAACATGTGGCGTGTTTATCCCTTTATTATAAATTGTCTATCAGAGGTAAGTCCCACTGCATTCAATGGAGCTTACTCCAAGGTAACAGGATCAAGACTGTGCAACCGTGCACTCCAGTCCAAAGTATTTTTACTCATTCGCACCGAGTTCAAAAGGATTTACTCTCCTATTCCCTCACAGGGACTCAAGTCAGCTTACCACTAAAAATTTATTTAATTCCATTTATCTGTAGAAGCTGTTGTGCACAATCCCTTCCCTGGCACATTTTTCCTTTACAACAACCCTGCAAGGCTGGTTGGGCAGCGAGGCTGCCCTTGGCTCAAGGTGTATGTGTGCATATGACGTCTATGCGCGTGGCGAGATGAAACACAGGAGAAGCTTCCTGGTGTGGAATAGGATTGTCCCTATTTTCATCTGAGAAATACTGGAGGGTGGGCACTGACAGGCAAAGGCTCGCTGGGATTTTATCCTGCCCTACTCAGAGGTGTCAGGACTGAACTCCTTTACATAAAAAGCACCTGCTCAACAGACTTTCCCATAAAGGAGACCCAGGTCTCAAGTCTTGGGCCGCAAAAGACAAAACTGGAGGAAGTGAATGTTCCCTAACAGGAGGCAGAGGGTGCTGGTGGAAAAGAGCAGACTGCAAGAGTGAATTTCAGGAACATGGCGAATGACATTTCTGCAGCAAGCCGTCCACAGATCATGAGGTGGGGAGGGAATTGGTGCTGGAGGGAGAGAGGCCGTTTTAATGTTAGGGGTTTGACAGAGCAGGGAAGGAGATGAAAGGCCACGTCCACCGCAGTTGACATGGCTGGGTGTGATCAAAGCACCAAAGGACTCGGGAGGAGAAGGGGGTCGAGGAAGCCTGGAACGCAAGCTCTGACTTTTTGCCGCAGATTATAACTCATCTGTCACTTTGCTTTTCCTCTTTCCCTTCCCTTGCAGGCAAGGGATAAATCCTGATGGATTAAGACGCTGCATAATCACGTCAGAGGAAGGGGGTGGGAAGCTTGGCAGAGGGGCTGAGCAGGGTCCTGGGTCTGCCCAGAATGAAGCCCAGCTTTAGGGATGCGCCGAGATTTCAACCTTCTCGTTTATTTACTATTTTTGCATTTGTATATCCCTTCCTCTTCCTCCAAGGAGCTCAAGGTCAGGTGCCTCATTTAATCTCCACAACGACCCTTGAGAGGAAAGAGCGACTGGCCCCCAAAGTCGCCTGGCCAGGGTTGTGGCCAAGTGGAGATTTGTACCCTGGCCTCTCCCAGGCCCTCCCTCTAACCACTGCACTGCTCATCGGTTTAAAAAGCAAGCATCAAAAAGCATTTAAAGAACATGGATCTTAAGAGAAAGGGTGGCCTCTTCAGAATCAACCAACGCCACACGCATGGAACAGCCTCTTGGCGCACGCTGAGCCCATGCGCTCGCACGTGGAGGCCCCAAGCCATGAGTGCTTCATCGTATTCATGCACAGATCAGAGGGACAGATGTTCTTTGCTGTCTGAACAACAGGGCTGGCTATCAAATATTTATCCTGGTGCAAGGGAGAGGGGAGGAAAAAGGCTCCCTCGCTCTCCGCTGGGTGCCTCCGGAGCATCCCATAATAGCAGGGCAGCCCCTTTTTGCCCTCTTCACCTTGTGTGTCCCAAGATCACTGACCCAGTGGGGCGGAAAAGTAAAAGTGTCGCCTCTGGACAGACAGCGTCTGTGGTTTGAGTGTATGAATTTCAGGGATTAAATGTCTGGTGTCTTTTTGGCTTGCTGCTGTTTTTTCATTCCTTGAATATTTTGGTTGCTTTTATAATAATAATAATAATAATAATAATAATAATAATAATAATAATAATAATTTATATCCCACCCATCTGCTGGGTTTCCCCAGCCACTCTGCACAGCTTACAACATATAAAACACAACAAAACATCAAACATTAAAAAACAAGATATCCTATACAAGCAACAAACAAACCAATAAATCATTAAAACCAACATCATCATCAACAACAACAAACAGTTTGCAGTTATACCCATATTAAAGTAACTGCCACCCCCAGGTAAACATTTAACCAACACCAGCCCAACAAAAATGAAACAGAGGAATCAAAATCGGAACTGTCTAAAACATTTTACAACAATTTAGCCAGTTGCCCCAACCCAAGCGCTGGTCCAGCCGCGTCCCAGTGGCCTCCCAGGGGCCCATCTGAGCTGTCCAGGGGCAGTCTGGGCCCCCCAGGCCAGGTGGAAACGAGCCTTGCAGCAGACAGCAGGCCTTTCTTCCAGCACTCAGGCAGCAGCAAATAGATTTGTTGCTTTAGTCTTTTTGCAAGGCTTCAAGGTTTATTATTATTATTATTATTATTATTATTATTATTATTATTATTATCATCATCATCATCATCATCATCATCAAGCAGCATATAGTTTTTGTAAAACCAATAGCTTGTATGTTTCTAGTTTATCACAGCTGTTAATTTTCATGAAGTTTTAGTTTCTTTTTTTGCACACCCTGCCATTTTGGGAGGCAAAACTCCCATTTTTCATATTTCTTCCCCCCCCCCGACAACATTTAGCTTGTTAAGTCTATGTTTGATGAAAAAGTGCATAAACTGCTTTTGAAAAACCAAAGTATCTCCATTGTACCTTCTGCAAATGTCAGGAAATGCTAAATCATCATCACAAGAAAAATAATATTAATATATAATGTACCTGCAAGTACTTGGCAGTCATTCTTTAAGGATTTTGATGTGATTTTACATACCTCTTACCAAGCAAAACTAAATTACATTAATTTAACCAGCATATATTTCAGATCCCCAAGTTGTGTTGCAACTTTTTTTTTGCAAACCTCGTTTTTGGAATTTGAAAGCTGGAAAAGTCAACATGCCCAACTCCTGGAATGTTCCTTAAGATCCCGGTTTGGAAAGTGCAGGCAGGGAAGAAGATGCCGCTTACCTGAGGGAGAGAGAGTAGTCGTTGCGGCTGGTCTCGCTGTTCCGGACCAGGTAGCTGCCTTCCTTGCAGAGGGTCAGGAGGGATTCTGCGTCGGCTCGGCTGATGGTGCCGTGAAACCACCTGGTGGGGGGGGGAGCCCAGCAGGGTCACGGCTTGCAAATCCTCATCCCTTTGCCCAGACTCCCCTTCCTCTACCTTTGCTTCTCTTAGCATCCTTTCCAGGGCCGGCTCACCCGTGTGGCAACGTGAGGCAGCCGCCTTGGGCGGCAGGACTCCCAGGGCCAGCGGATACGTTGCCTGCTGCTGCTGCATGGGGACTATTGGGGGCTGGATCCTTCTCAGCAACACCCCCACAGTGGTCTCCAGGCAGATAAGAGCCACTGTCGGTCTCCTCTCATCTTTAGGTAGGTGATAGCTTCCCTCTGGGGTCTCCACTCGCCACGGCCTTTGATTCACACTTTCACTATCAGGTAAGGTTGACCTGATTCCCCCATGTTCCTGATGGAGATCTTCATTCACCCCTTCCTGACGCAGGGAGCATCCTCGCCAAAATATCTTGGGCAGGCCCCGATTCCTCCATTGGGAGGGACCTTGGAGGTCAGTGGCCTCAGCCAGCGGCAGATGGTCTCTTTGGGAAAACGGGGTACCACCCCACCACCCCAAGACTGCCTCCACCTCATTCTTTTTTATTATTTTATTAAACTTGTATACCATCCTTATCCACTGTCTCAGGGCAGTTCACAACATAAAAATAGAAGATGAAAACACAAAATACATAACCCAAACCCCCACAAACCCATAATTCCCTCTCCCCCACAAACAGGTTTAAAAGGATATGGAATGTTAATCAGCCCAAGGCCTGGCGGAAGAGGAACGTTTTTGCCTGGCACCTAAAGATAGGTAGTGAAGGCCCCAGGCGAGCCTCCCTGGGGAGAGCATCCCGCAAGCAGGGAGCCACTGCAGAAAAGACCCTGTTCTCGTGTTGCCACCCTCTGGACCTCTCACGGAGGAGGCTCACAAAGGATGATCAGAGGATGAGTGCAGGGTCCAGCAGAGGCAGTTTTAGAGTAGCGCAACTAGATCAGCCACAGTGGGTGCTGCACCTCAGGGGTTGCTGCAACAATGCTGTAGAATAGGGCATGAGGAGCGGGGGGGGGGCACATTTTAGTGTCACACAGGGCAACGCTGGAACTTGAGAGCCCAAAGTCTGGGTCTGGGTAGGTTCACATGGGGAGAGGTGGTCCTTGATGCTTCATAGGTCCAGACCAGCACTTTGAATTGGGCCTGCCTAGAAACTAATGCGCAGCAGTGCAGCCTGGCACTCGATGCTCCAACCCTCTTGCCCTGGAGAGCAGCCTGGCTGCTGGATTCTGTGCTGACCTCCCTGTCCTTTAATGCTTGGACTGATACTCTCGAGTTGCATCCTCTTTCCAGCTCCCTCCTCCTCACGCGTCTCTCTCAGGTGTCAGGATGAGAATACCTTTCTCCCCTCTCTCCTAATGCAAAAACTTGCAGACATGCAGTGAAATGGGATGGTGGAAGATTCAGGTCAGAGACAGCAAAGTCCTTCTTCACGCAGCATATTGTTTAATGATGGACCTCCACCCCGAAAGAGGCAGATGGGCACCACCATGGGCAGCTCTAAATGAGGATTGGACCAAGTCATGGAGGAGGAGAAAGCCACTGAAGGGGGTGGACTGGATGACCCTTGGGGTCCCGTCCAACTCTATGATTCTAAGATGAGAGATCGCCTTGATTCTCTTCTCTGAGGACAAAGCAACCAGCAGCCTGGCTGCCTTGTTCTTCTCTGGAACAGTTGCCTTAAAACTAGAATCCTTTTTCTTTCCAAGTTGGGCACTTCCTATAATAAACAGTGTGATTGTGTTCTTACTCTACAACATGGGTAGGGAAACTAAGGCCTGGGGGCCGGATCCAGCCCAGTCGCCTTCTAAATCCAGCCCGTGGATGGTCCAGGAATCAGCATGTTTTTACATGAATGTGTCCTTCTATTTAAAATGCATCTCTGGGTTATTTGTGGGGCATAGGAATTTGTTCATTTTTTATTTTATTTTTCAAAATATAATCCGGCCCCCCACATGATCTGAGGGACGGTGGACCGGCCCCCTGCTGAAAAAGTTTGCTGATCCCTGTTCTACAAGCATCTCTCTCTCTGTGAAATTGCAAGAGAAGCGTCACTCTCTGGACAGTTGCAAAATGAAAGAAGGGCGTCCAGGTAATTTCTAGTGAAGGTTCTCTCGCCTGGAGAAGAGGAGGTTAAGGGGTGATATGATAGCCATGTTCAAATATATAAAAGGATGTCATATAGAGGAGGGAGAAAGGTTGTTTTCTGCTGCTCCAGAGACACGGACACGGAGCAATGGATCCAAACTACAAGAAAGAAGATTCCACCTAAACATTAGGAAGAACTTCCTGACAGTAAGAGCTGTTCGACAGTGGAATTTGCTGCCAAGGAGTGTGGTGGAGTCTCCTTCTTTGGAGGTCTTTAAGCAGAGGCTTGACAACCATATGTCAGGAGTGCTCTGATGGTGTTTCCTGCTTGGCAGGGGGTTGGACTCGATGGCCCTTGTGGTCTCTTCCAACTCTATGATTCTATGATTCTATGACACGAGACTCCTAACAGAATCATAGAATTGCAGAGTTGGAGGGGACACAGAGGGTCATCTAATCCAACCCCTACAATGCAGGAATCCTGCCCACAACCATCCCTGGGTGGGCTCAAACCACCAACCTCCTGTTTAACAGCCAGATGCCCTGGTCCTTTGTGCCCCTCATTAAGGCACATGGGGGGCGTGATTGGAGGTTTCAGCCCCACCTTCCGTTTCCCCATGGCTGTAGAAGGACAATTTACTGGAGCAGTACATTTTCAATAATTTGGTCAATAGCGGCTAACAAGAAAAATTACCCAGAGAAAAATAAATTAAAACATCAACAATATCTAAGAAACATGACAAGAAAGGCAATGATGATAATTCTTTATGATTAGTCAATAGCACTCAGAGGATAATAATGTCCCATTCAGACTCTGACGGAAATTGTGCGCAAGGGAGACAGGGACTTCTTTTACATCACACAACCTTGATCTTCAAAGCTAGTTTTGCAGAGCCTGAGAGATTTAACTGAGCCCAGCGTGATTATTTTATTTTTGCCTTACTCTTGTTGAGCAACATCAGACACCCCTCCCCCCACCCCAAATGAAATATCCCAAACTGCTTTTGAAACTGTTCTGTCGGAATGGCAAAAAGCCACAGAATTAAGTGTAGCCTGGAGAATTCCACTCCCTAAAAAACAAATTTAAAAATAAAGTTCCTAGTCCATAAGGATGTATGCAGCTGTGTGCGGGGGGGGGGGGGATGCTTGAGGAAATTCCAAAAGAGATCCTCCCCCTACAGAGTCTTTTGGCCTGTAATTCTCTCGCTCAAAGACAGATATTCTTCTTGCAGAGGCCAATCAGTGCCTTGACTTTGCTGGGGAACTTCCCTTTTGGGAAAGCTTGTTTTATCAAACAGGCTTGGGTCAAATGAAACAGCATGAATTATGCAAATCAAGCCACTGGGCATCGCTTTGCATAATCTTTGCCAGGCACAGGGGTGTCCATTGGTCCGACTGCATTGCTGAACAAGAGCAGCAAAGACCTCCCACCACCAGGCCTATGGGATAATCCCCTGCACATATGTAGATTTGCACTCTGATTATTCAAAGCCTCCTGCTCCGTGCCTTGTCTCTGACGGTAATCCTGCTGGGATAACATACTTGGGTCCATTAATTCCAATGGGTCTGCTCCGAGGAGGATTCCGTTGGAGACAATCTTCTAACTCACAAGGTGGAACAAGCCCTCCTGGATCAGGCCAGCCTCCTGCTCTCTCCATGGCCGACCAGATGCCCCCAACCCTCCCTCCCTGGAGCTCAGCCCCATTGCTGCCTCTGCCTGCGAGGAAGAGCAGAGCCACTGTCCCCTCCAGCCACGGAGAGACCCCTTCTCCACAAACATCTTTTGAAGCCATTTAGGTTAAGGTTACCAGATTTTTCTCAATGAATCTGGAGACACTTTTCAACTTCCTACTAAATGGATGGAGTTTGTCAGGGGACTGATTTGCAAATCTTGTCCTGAATCTGCCCACGTTCAGCTTCATTGGATCTTTACAAGTTATGGGGGGGGGGAGATACTGGGAACAGGAATTTACCTCTCCCAGGAGCTGCGATTCCCAGCCCCTTTAACAAACCCCCGTTTCCAGGATTTTTTGGAGGGAGCCAAGAGTTTTCCTTGCATATGCATGGAGTCAGACTCCCCTTGAAGCCAAGAAACCAGAGTGCTGACCCCCCATGGGATGATTTCCACGGGGAGGAGTTGAAGACCACCTCAGGACCACCTCAGGACCACCCACCGCTGAGTGAACTACCTTCGACCTGAACTACTTAGGTCAAGGGTACCTCAGTCAGTAGAGCGTGAGACCCTTAATCTCAGGGTCGTGGGTTTGAGCCCCAGGCTGGGCAAAATATTCCTGCATTGCTGGGGGCTAGATGGTGGTTGGGGTCCCTTCCAACTCTACAGTGCTCTGATTCTGGGATCATGAGTTCATCTGCAGGAGCACTGTTGGCCGTTCCCGTTCTACTGGCAAGGCTCAACTGACAACACAATAAACGGAGTCTTTATTCTCATTGGCTCAGTCCTCTGGAACTCACTGCCACTAGAGATTCAGCAGGCATCTTCCATCTCAACTTTTAAATACCTGCTGAAAACGTTTCTGTTCCGCCCGGTCTACTTAGGAATGCATCTGTCCATCACAGTTTGTTAATTTCTGGTTTTAAAATTTCTGCATGGTTTTCACTGCACAACATGAGGCACAATGATTGTAAATCACTCTATCTTTTTTGCATAGCAGGGTGGCACTGTGGGTAAAAGCCTCAGCACCTAGGACTTGCCGATCGAAAGGTCGGCGGTTTGAATCCCCGCGGCGGGGTGCGCTCCCGTTGCTCGGTCCCAGCGCCTGCCAACCTAGCAGTTCAAAAGCACCCCCGGGTGCAAGTAGATAAATAGGGACCGCTTACTGGCGGGAAGGTAAACGGCGTTTCCGTGTGTGGCTCTGGCTTGCCAGATGCAGCTTTGTCACGCTGGCCACGTGACCCGGAAAGTGTCTCCGGACAGCGCTGGCCCCCGGCCTCTAGAGTGAGATGGGCGCACAACCCTAGAGTCTGGCAAGACTGCCCCGTACGGGCAGGGGTACCTTTACCTTTATTACACTAACTTGCATGCAGACACACATGTGTATGTGTGTATGGCAATCCCCCATCTATGCGCATTTAATACGTGCATGACTGCACACATGCAGACCACACCAAACCTGGAAGTGACCCAAAAACGTCACCAAAAGTGTCGTAATGGGGTGAGGTGGAACAGGGTGTTCGCAGGCTTCCCCAATGGTGTTTCAAATATACGTGCCTCAGAACATAACCCCCACTTAAATGGGGGGGGGTTGCCTGTACACACACACACACACACACACACACACACACACACCACATCATGCAGGAAGGATCCCGATGAGCTTTTGATATGTTGCTGTTTAAATAATTGCAATAACTAAAAATTAAACAAAAAAGCAGTATACACAGCCAAAATCTCCCTTATGTAGCATAAATGACTCATAGAAGTGGAGAGTTGGATCAAGCCCCCAAGGGTCATCTAGTCTAACCCCCTTGCTTCCCCCTTACACCTGGCACTCCCCTCCAAGGCCCCACAGATCTCTCGCAGTCCTTTGCTACCTGCAACTCTCCTTGCACAAAAGAAGGAAGATTGGTGCTGGCCCACAAATGCATTTTTACGCGGGTGTCGTGGCTTGCTGGCACCTCCCATCACTTACGCCTGATTTTCCAAGGGCAGCGAGGGGTCGATGCGCTCCGCAGCAGGAAGGCTGTGCTCAGGGCTCTGCGACCGGACAAACTTGGAGCTCCCCGTCAGGTGTGGGCGCCAATGTTCTTTGTGCGTGGAAGAGGCAGCGGCGAGGGACGTCCATTCCCAGTCTGGGGTCTCAAACTGCACTGTGTGGGGAGTGGAAAGGACCTGTTAGACTGGGGGGTTCAGCTGCTGCCCAATGGATGGTGTTTTTTTAAAAAAATTAAAATGCCCCCCCCAGGTGGTAAACAGATAAAGTAAATCTTCAAGCTTGTTTTACTGATTTTTCACAAAGCAAAAACATAAGCATTGAATTGTTGTCGACTATCGCAACTCGCTTTGCACTGCATGCATTGCATTGCCTGGAGCAGGGCATGAGACTCTTGATCTCAGGGTGGTGGGTTTGAGCCCCACCTTGGGCAAAAGATTCCTCCCTTGCAGGGGGTTGGGCTAGACAGCCCTCATGCCCCTTCCGACTCTATAGGAATTAGGCAAATGTTATGGAGCAAGTGTGATGTGGTGGTTGAATACAGACACAGGGTTTCTTTTCATCACACTGCAGAGTGTTTATGAGCTTACCAATGCCAGGATACCTGTGCTATCCATGATTCTTTCGTGTGAATGATTTCCTAACTACAGTTCACAGTCAAAAGCATGCCAAGGTAACATCAGAAGAGGCTGCTGGATCAGGCCAAGGGCCCAACTAGTCCACAATGGCACTCTCCCTTCCTGTGGCTTTCAGTGGAGGCACAAAGAATTTGTCCGTTTTTTTAAAGCCATCTAGGCTGTCGTTGGGCTCAGGCGCCTTTCAGGCCTCCCCGTAGTCAGTGCAGTATTTGTTCAGAAAAGGCCTTCGAATAGCGCAGCACTGTTTTCATTTTCTGTATTTAACTGATCTCAGGGCCTTTATATTGCTCTAATTCTATTCCAGTTGAATTACTTTTCAATGACGATCTCTTAAATGTATTTAGCTGTTTGCATTTACAGTGGATCCTCAGGTTGTGAACATGATCCATGCGGGAGGCACATTCACAACCCGCAGTGTTCGCAACCCGCAGCGCTGCATCTGCGCACGTGCGGTTTGCAATTTGGCGCTTCTGCGCATGTGCAAAGCGTGATTTAGCACTTCTGCACATGTGCAAGTGTCGAAACCCGGAAGTAACCCGTTCTAGTACTTCCGGGTTTCGGCGCATCCGTAACCCAAAAACACGCAACCTGAAGTGTCTAACCTGAGGTATGACTGTATTATTTATTTTTTCACAGCACTGATAACCACGCTTGATTGTAAAAACAAAACACACTGAAGTTCACAAAAGAAAACGAGAAGATCGAGGAAATTTTACAACCCTGCTTTGAAGCATACAAAAGTTAAAAAGCACTAAAACAGATTAAAATCATGCCAACTTTCTAAGCGTCTGGGAAGGCATGTTTGTTTTTAGAAGGCACCCGCTTGATCTCAATGGGCAGGGAGTTCCAAAGGGCAGGCCCTGCCACCCGCAATGGTGGAGCTCTTACAAATGCAGAACAGGGATTGTGTGGCACCTGGAATGGTGTCAATTCCATTTTATCTGCGTCATTTTGTGTAAGCTGCCTTGAGTTCCAGTCTGAGGAAAAGGCGGAATAAAAATTATAATAGAAGAATAACCCTAATTTATCACTGTTTTTAATCCTTCGGTCATTTTTTTTTAATTAATACAGAGCCTGACCTTCTTCACAAGGTTAATCTTGGGGTGGGCTTGTGACAGGATGTGGAAAATGCAGGAGGGGGGCCAGTTGCACATGGGACACGCCACACATCCATGTGCAAACCAGCTGTCATGAATGTGGCAAGCGCAGGAACAGCAGGGAAGAGGGATGGAAGAGAGACGAATCAGAAGAGGAAGATCAAGAGGGAAGACCCTGGAGACGAGGAAACAGACACAGAATACAGAAAAGTGAGGAGGGGGGCATTCATTGCCCCCCCCTCTGGAACCATAGGGACTAGGGCCTTTAAGAGTACCTCCAGGAGGACAGGTGTATTCTGTGGCATGTTCTTGTCTCATAGGAGCCAGTGTGGCCTAGTGGTGAGAATGTCAGACTAGGGCCTGGGAGAGATCAGGGTTCAAACCCCCCTCCGCCATTAAGCTCATTGGGGGCCAATCCCTGCCTCTCAGCCTAACCCACCTCACAGTGTATCTGTGTGTATGTGTGTATCTGAAGAAGTGTGGCATGCACACGAAAGCTCATACCAAGAACTAACTTAGTTGGTCTTTAAGGTGCTACTGGAAGGAATTTTTTTTGTTTTGACTATGGCAGACCAACACGGCTACCTATCTGTAACCACCTCACAGGGTTGCTGTGAGGATTAAATGAGGAAGAGAACCACGTGCCCCACTTTGACCTCCTTTGGGGGAAAGAAAGTGGGTCAGAAATGCAATCTTATAAAATAAATAAGCCAGAAATACTGCAGGAGTGACGGGTTTATTCTGCGTCAGTTGTTGTTCTGTGATGCTTCCCCAGTGCAACAAGAGTGGGGCAAAAAAGGAGAAAGAAAGCAGAGGATTTGTAGTGTGAAAAGTTATGGGATTTCAGGAGGATGCACTGACTGGAGACAAAGCCGTGGGGCTGCCCCAAAACCTTCCAGGCGCAAACCGGTCTGGAAGTGGGGGGGGGAGCATCAGGAGCACAAATCATCTTGAATGTGCAATAAGCGCACTGTCTGGAGGGACCCAGAGAAGCAAATGCTGGAGTTTTCCAGGGGCCAAATCTCATGCAGACTTTTCGGTCCCCTTGTGAGAAGGCAGCTCCAAGCCAGCCAGGGGCGCCCTGTCCCTGTTGCCAACACCCTTTTCGCAGGTGAAGGCTCCATGCCTTTTCATATGTGAGTGGAAGGCAGAAATTCAGCAGGTGCAGCTTGTCTGCTGGGGAAGCTGCACCCGTTGAACATTTGCCTGCCCTGTAGAATCTTCTGTCTATGTAACAGACAGCAACCCCAGTGCCACTCTAAGCTGGAGCCAAAAATAAACACAGCGCCAGCCAGAGAAGGCAAGAGAGGTGTGCAGGGGGAAAGATGTTTCCAACCCAGGGGAGAGAGGCTGAGGTGGGTAAGAGGTTAAAAAAAGACGTCACCTTCTGGATCTAGGGATTCCTCTGTGCCCGTGAGTTGTCCTACCGGAGGTGGCCAGGGCAAGACTTTATTCTCCTTAATGTCTACTGCAATGGGAGAGGGCATCATGGAGGAGAGGAGAGAGAGAGAGAGAGAGGGGAAGGGAGGTGGTCGGGAGGAAGGCCAGGCGAAGAAGGGAGGAGAGATGATGGGAAGGGAGAAGGAGAGGAAGGGGATAGAAAGGGAGGAGTGCAAGTGAGCAGACAGAGAAGAGGAGGAGGAGGAGGAGGAAGAAGGAGGAGGAGGAGGAGGGGGAGGAGCAGCATGGCAAGAGAGAAGGGGAAGGAGAGAAGACCAGGAGAAGGGAGAAGAGGAAAGGAATGCAAGAAGGAAAGGAGGAGAGGGGAGAAATTATGGGGTGAGGAGCATAAGGGGGAAGAGGAGAGATGAGAAGAGGAAGAGGAGGAGGAAGAAGAAGGAGGAGGAGGGGAGGAGGAGGAGCAGCATGGCAAGAGAGAAGGGGAAGGAGAGAAGACCAGGAGAAGGGAGAAGAATAAAGGGATGCAAGAAGGAAAAGAGGAGAGAGGAGAAATGATGGGGTGAGGAGCATAAGGGGGAAGAGGAGAGATGAGAAGAAATGGAAGAATATGATAACAGGGGAAAAGAAGGAGCAGGGGAATTCATGGAGACAGGAGGAGAAATTTGGAGGAAAGGGGAGAGAAGAAAGCGGGAGGAGAAGGAAGAGGAGCAGAAAAACATGGTGAGGAGGGAGAGAGGAGTGTTGAGATGAGAAAGAGGAAGGGAGGAAAGAGACAAAACAGACATGATAAAAAAGAAAAGATCTAATGACGGAGAGACAAGGGGAGACGGGCAATTGCCCCCTCAGCCCCTCCCTTCACAACAGCCATTCTCTGAGTCTTGCCCCCGCTGTTTCCTCAGCTCTTTTTAATGAGATAAGTGCTTTATTTCTGCTTGACACTGCGGAGGACTGGAGGATACATAATATTTTTAAAATATATAATAATGTTCTTTTTAAAGCTATAATATTGATGGAGTATCTTGTTTTCATAACCGCTATTAATTATAATGGCTAGGAATAAATAAAAAAAATGACCGGTAGCACCAGAGACCAACTAAGGAAGTGTGCATGCACACGAAAGCTTGTACCCAGAACAAACTTAGTTGGTCTCCAAGGTGCTACTGGACAATTTTTTTATTTACTTTGACTGCCTCAGACCAAAGTGGCTACCTACCTGAATCTAGAATAATGGCTAGGAATTTGCCTTTAAAAAGAGAAGAAGAAATGGGATTCTCAGGAAGTTGAATTCTGCACATAGGGAGGCCCCATTTACATCCCTTCCACCAAGGGCCAGATTTAGGTTTGATGAGGCCCTCAGCTCCCGAAGGTAATGGGGCCCTTGATATGTCCAGCTGTCCTAAATAATGTGGTTACGGAAGAAATACCCATAGAAAAAGGTACACGACAGGGATGCCCAATATCCCCTTTACTTTTTATATCAGTCCTGGAGGTTTTGTTAAACATGATCAGAGGGGACCAGTTGGTTAAAGGAGTTCAGGTCGGAGCCAGACATTACAAGCTAAGGGCATTTGCAGATGACCTAGTATTGACCTTGCAACAGCCAGATACTAGTACTAAAAGAGTATTAGAACTAATTGAGATATTTGGTCAAGTAGCAGGATTTAAACTGAACAAACAGAAAATGAAAGTGTTGGAGAAAAATCTAACATTGGCTGAAAAAGAGAAGTTTCAGAGTGAAACAGGTTTAGTGATAACGAAAAAAGTGAAGTACCTGGGGGTAAACTTAACATCTAAGAATGTGAACTTATTTAAGGACAATTATGACAAATGTTGGACAGAAGTAAAGAAAGATCTAGAAATATGGTCAAGGTTGAGACTCTCCTTGTTAGGCCGAATTGCTGTCATCAAGATGAATGTGTTGCCTAGAATGTTGTTTTTATTCCAGATGTTGCAGATCTTGGACAAGATGGACTGTTTCAAGAAGTGGCAGAAAGACATATCTAAATTTGTCTGGCAGGGCAAAAAGCCCAGAATAAAATTTAAGATTTTAACTGATGCAAAAGATAGAGGGGGGTTTGCCCTGCCGGACTTAAGACTCTACTATGAATCGGCAGCTTTCTGCTGGTTGAAACATTGGCTGCTTCTTGAGAATACAGACATTTTGGATCTGGAAGGGTTTGATAATAGATTTGGCTGGCATGCATATATATGGTATGACAAGGTAAAATTGCATAAAGGTTTCAAAAACCATATTGTTAGGAAATCATTATACAATGTTTGGATGCGGTATAAAGATTTATTGGAAAGTAAAACTCCCAGGTGGTTGTCACCAATGGAAGCTAAAGAGGTGAAAAAACTTAATATGGAGTCTAAATGGCCAAAATACTGTGAAATTTTAGAACAAGATGGTGAAAAAGTTAAATTACAGAGTTATGAGAAATTAAAGTCCAAGGTACGAGACTGGTTGCATTACCTTCAGATAAATGAGATATTTAAACAGGACAGGAAAAGAGGCTTCCAGATGGAGAGGTCAAAATTAGAAACAGAACTGTTAGAACCCAATACTAAGAACTTGTCAAGAATGTATAATTTGCTGTTGAAGTGGAATACACAGGATGAAACGGTGAAATCAGCTATGATTAAATGGGCACAAGACATTGGTCATGACATTATGTTTGCTGACTGGGAACAGTTATGGACCACCGGTGTTAAGTTTACGGCATGTAATGCCTTAAGAGAAAACATAATGAAAATGATTTACATGACCCCAGTCAAGCTTGCAAAAATTTACCATTCGCCCAATAATAAATGCTGGAAATGTAATGAGACTGAAGGTACCTTTTATCACCTTTGCTGGACCTGCCCGAAGATTAAAGCCTTTTGGGAAATTATCTATAATGAAATCAAGAAAGTCCTTAAGTGGACCTTTCCTAAGAAACCTGAGGCTTTTCTCCTGGGCATGGTTGGCCAATTGGTGTCAGGGAAGGATAGGACGTTTTTCATGTATGCCACTACAGCAGCAAGAATTCTTCTGGCAAAGTATTGGAAGACACAAGAACTACCCACTCTGGAAGAATGGCAGACGAAGGTGATTGACTATATGGGACTGGCAGAGATGACCGGCAGAATCCGCGACCAGGGGAAAGAGACAGTGGAAGAAGACTGGAAGAAATTTAAAATATATCTTAAAAATTGCTGTAAAATTGAGGAGTGTTAAGATGTTAAGGAACTAAGAAATAGAGAATTGCAGCTGTAATCAATAAGTTAAAGAAAAAAGAATCTAATGAAAGTGAATTAAATAATTAGTTAATTGGAGGAGTTGCTGAAGAAATGTAAAACAAGGATGCAGAAAAGGGGAGGTATGGGGAAGTCCGGGAAGTAAGGTGTATGAAAATAAGATTATGAAATTATACATGTTTATATGTTTTTGTTTTGTGTATTGTTTGTTTTTATTATGTGTTTGGAAAATCAATAAAAATTTATTTAATAAAAAAAAAAAGATATGTCCAGCTGTCCTTTGTCAACAACAAATTGTCACTGTTTTTTGTGTGTTGAATATATGCTATATGGTCACTGATGGACCTGATAGGTATCTCAAGCCATTTGCGCATGCTGCCCTGCAACTAGTTCACGCAGAATGTATGCACCCTATATATAGAAAGGAGCAAAGCAGGGATATTTGAGGGAGCAGGCGGGGCCCATGACTTGCATCATAAGAACCTATACAACACAAAACACTGTTGCTGCATGTAGGTTTTATTTTATTGGTTTTTTATCTTATATATTGGAAATGTACATCCAGTTTTTTCCCTTTAAATTTTTTTGGGGCCCCCAAGAGAGTGGGGCCCTAAGCTAGAGCTTGTTTAGCTTGTATGTAAATCCAGCCCTGCTTCCACCCCTCTGGCTCCCCTTCTCTTAGGGAAACCTGCTGGAGGCGGATTGGGTCTGCTCAGCAATACTCGTGAGTCGGGCTCTCCAAGGGTCCTGATTTTCCAGGGACAGACCCAGAATTACAAAAGCCATTCTGGCTTCTGATTTGATCCCAGACTGTCCCTGCTTCCTGCTGCTGTTTGGGGAGGAGGATGAGCCGATGCTTATCCCAAGTGACGGGGGGGGGCGTGACTGTCTGGGAGCATCCTGTTGCCTCTCCACCCCACCCCCCATGGTTCCATGACCAGCTTCCCCCTTTGGACAGCTAGTAGGGGCTGCTGGAGAGTGGTGAGGAGGAGCAAAGGGGGAGCAGAACGGAGTGCAAGGAACCTTGGTTTTTTAATAATACAGTGGTACCTCTGGATGCAAACGGGATCCGTTCCAGAGCCCTGTTTGCAACATGAGCAAAACGCAACCTGCGTCTGTGCATGTGCGGGTTGTGATTCGCCACTTCTGCACATGCGCGTGATGCCATTTTGAGCATCTGCGCATGCGTGAGCGACGAAACACAGAAGTAACCCATTCCGCTACTTCTGGGTCACCGCAGGATGTATCCCAAAAGAACATAACCTGAACCGAATGTAACAAGAGGTATGACTGTGATAGTAATGTTATTATTTGTACCCCACCCATCTGTGCCCCAGCCACTCTGAGCAACCTCCAACATATATAAAACCATAATAAAGTGTCTAATCTTGCCTCTTTCTAAAATGTATTTATTGGTATGCGTTTTTCTTTTTGTAAATCTGTAAAGAATAAAAATAAAATCAGGACGAAGCACCGCCTCAGGATGTGTGTGCGCTGTGTCCCGTGGGTGAAATGGCTCTTGCCATTCTTCTGGTAGGAAATGCTCTGCGGAGGAGGGAGACGGAAAAGGAGGGCTAGTTGTGTGTGTGTGGGGGGGGAAATGCCCCTATTTCCCCGTGAGGGAGGTTGGAGGGTGTGCTCTCTCTCACCTGCGAAGGCCCGAGAGATGTGGTTCTTCTTCCACTCCCATGGCTGGTCATACTCGTCGGCCGGCCTCTCGTCGTCCTGGGGCAGCCGGCTCTCTCGGGGCTTGCTGGGGGGCCTGCCCTCCGGGTCAGCCTCAGGCTCCTTCTCCTCATAGGGGGTGTCGTACAGCTGCAGCCCAATCCGGGATTTCTTCACCCTTTGCTCATCCCGGTCGCTTTTCCGCTGGAAATCTGGAAGCCGAGACGCACAGGATTCAACGAGAATGGAAACAACCACAATAAAATGGCAGACAGCCAAGTCCTGCTCAGAGCAGATCCGTTGAGATGCCTGATTGAACGTGACTAATGTGGGTCCATTCACTTCAATGGGTTTACTCTGAGTAGAACTTCGTTGCCTACAACCCAATAATAGCAAGACGGGACAAAAGATTCCTGCATTGCTTCAGGGTTTGGACTAGATGACCCTCGTGGTCCCTTCCAAATCTACAATTCTATATTTCCAACTGCATCATGCTCAGAGTAGACCCACTGAAATGAATGCACAATGACCAACATGGGTCCACTGATTTTTGGTCAGGATGCACACAGCCCTAAAACTATTCCACGCAGCTACATTTCTTTTTGATCCCAGCTAAACAAGCCAATAATGTAATTTGAGGGAGGGGTATTTCCCCCCCACACCTATTCTCACCTCCCCCGCCAGCTGTGTCCATCCTCATGTGGCGGATGGACTCCTCTCCAAGAAGTTGCCAGCTTTTTAAATTCCCTTTTCAAATACGATGATGATGATGATGATATTCCTCTTGCTCCTGAGCTTTCTGTCTCTGTAACCCCCTCACTATTTCAAGGATCTTTCTGTGCCAATGAGGACTAGGAACTTGCATAGAGTTGGCCGGGTGGCCAGTGGAGGTCACATCCCCCACTCCTACACAAAAGCAGCAAGTACATCAACCTGCTTAAGGCAGATCCTGTCCCAGCCCCAGGCTTTCCAAACCAAGTACCATGAACCACATCCTCCACGGCTGGCTATGGGTGGTCTTCTCCCTCTCGCATTAACAGCACAACCCTCTGCATATCTGCTTAGGAACAACTAGGCGTCATGGACGGCCTGGATGCGGAGGAATGGCGGAAGGAACCAGCAGGGGACACCCCAAGGGAAGAAGGCTCAAAGCCCGGGGAGTGGCGGTGGGATGACAGTGAGACGTCAGAGGGAGAAGACTGGGAAGAGCAGGTGGCGGAAGCTGAAGAGACAACAGGCCTTAGTGAGCGGGGAGAATCAGTGGCAGAGAGCAGTCCAGAATCAGAATCAGAGGCAGAAGCTGAAGCTGAAGCAAGAGAGACCAGGAGGCAGAGATGAGTCCGGCTGCTGAAGAAGGGGGTCTTCTGCTGTATCCAGCTTCCCCTCCCCCCTCATCTCCCAGAACATGAAGACATATGAAGAGGGCAGAGCAGTGGGAGACAAGATGACGGAGCCTTAGGCTGCTGGGGAAGGAGGAAACTTAGAGTGGTAGGGAGATGGGGAGTCCTCGCAACTGCTTCATTGGGGCAAGACCTACTGGGACTGAACTTAGAGTTGCCATATTTCAAAAAGTAAAAACCAGGGCACTCCAAAAGTTGTTAAGTTGTTGTTGTTGTTGTTGTTGTTTAAAAACACACACACAAAACCATGGTTTCTGAAATCTCAGTAAAGTCTGGACATATGGCAGCCCTACTGAACTGTTTTGCCTGCCTCCAGCTCCTGACACCAGGGCTGGCAGGTCAGGAGCATCGCGGAAGCTAACTTGAGACCTAGGGGCGGCCTGGGGTGGTGTAATGGGGCAGTTCCTGGTGACGCTTCTTCTGCACTTCTTCTGCCCTGGAGCTCTGGAGACAGAGGCTAATTGGGAAAGAGGAGGAGGGCAGACACCCCCCACCCCGCACACTTTCCCCAGAGAGTCTAATTCGGAGCCATCTCCCAGACCCTGAGATTCCTCGTGAGGAAGGCCCCACACCAGGTACCGTATTTTTCGCCCTATAGGATGCACCGGCCCATAGGACGCACCTAGTTTTCGGGGGGGGGGGATCAAGGAAAAAAATATGACCCCCCCCCGCAGCTCTGGGAGCAATGGACAGGCTGCACGCAGCCTGTGCGCTACTCCAAGACCTTCTCCCTGCTTTTGCGGGAGGTGGGGGAATTCCCCCACCTCCCGCAAAAGCCCACAGGAGCCCCGTGTGACTCCTGCGGGCTTTTCGACCAGGAGGGAGAAGGGACTGAAACGGACAGTCAGTCCCTTCTCCCTCCTTGGGGAAAAGCCCCCAAGAGCGGCGCGCTCTTTAAAGGGTGCGCGGCTCCTGCGAGCTTTTCTAGGAGGTGGGGGAATTCCCCCCCCCTTGTAGAAAAGCCAGCAGAAGCCGTGGAGCCCCTTTAAAGAGCGCAAGGCTTTTGCGGGCTTTTGCGGGAGGTGGGGGAATTCCCCCATCTCCTGCAAAAGCCCAAAGGAGGGTTGGAGAGTAGCGGGAAGGCGTCGCGCGCCTTCCCACTGCCCCCCATCCTCTGGGGCTGGCGATGGGGGAAGTGCTGCTTTCCCCCACCGCCAGCCTCAAAGAGCAGACTCTCCTGGCTTCAGCGGAAGCAACGTGAAGCCTCCGGAGCGCAGGCTTCGCATTGCTATCGCTGAAGCCAAGGAGTCTGCATTCGCCCCATAAAACACACACACATTTCCCCTTCATTTTTGGAGGGGAAAAAGTGCATCTTATAGGGCGAAAAATACGGTAAGTGTGCACTTTCATAACCTTCTTGTCAGGAGCAGGCCAGCAGGAAATCACACTGTGCAAGCTGGAGCTAACTCTTTATTAGCAGGATCTGCGCAGGAGTGTCAACAACTAATCCCTAGCAGGTCTTGCCCCCATGAAGCAGTTGCAGAGATGACAGCCCCCACAGCTGCCTAAGTCCCCTTCTCTCCAGGGCTTTCCCCAAGCTATTGAAAGTGGCCCCCGCCTGCCGCCTGCCACTGCTCCCCCCTGTTTATGTCTCTCCTGGTTCTGGGAGTTGGTGGGGAGAGGAGCTTGTCCCAGCAGAATGGAGACCGTGCAACAGCCAGACTCACCTCTGCTCCTTGGCCTCTCTCTGCCAAAGACTCTCTCTGCTGACTGAGCCCTGTGACCTCTTCAGTTTCTGACACCTCCTGGGGTTTTCTCCCTCTGACCACTCATCATCATCCCACCACTAATCCCTGGGCTCTGGGGGTTCCCCAGCTGGTTTCTCCCACTACTCCTGTGTCCAACTAGTCAATAACACTTCTCCTCCAGTTCTTTTTCTTCCTCTGCACTCCCTCCCACCACTAAGCCCTTGAGATGGAAGAGAAGGGGGAGGACGGCAGGTGCCCCAGATAGTCTGCAGCTGGGCTGAAGCTTGCAAGCTCCTCGCACGACCACCATGCACATCACCATCATCTTAAAGGTGCTCTTGTTCACCTGGAAATTAAACCCTCCCTCTGCAAACCTGGAGACATCAGTCAGCCCTGAAGCTCTGGCAACCCTGGGAATGACTCCCACTGGTTCCCCTGGGGCTTCCTTCCGGGAAAGGGGGCCCAGCACTGCAGTGTAAATGACTCACCAACAACCACCTTCTGAGCATCGTAAGGTTCCATGTAGCCGTTGTTCTCAGACTCTGCCTCCTCCTCTTCCTCTTCTTTTGGCTCCCGGTGGGCGTCAAAGGGATCAGAGTATTCACTCTCCCCAGGGGCCTACGGAGAAGGAAACATGGATGGCACAGACCACCTGGTTTCTTAGACCAAAGGTTCCCAACCTTTCTTTGGTCTTGTAACCTCCTCACCAAAAGAAAGTTTGCAAAATGCTGCTGACGTGGGAGGTGGCATAGGAGGCCACTTCACAGGCACTGGCCAATCAGTGCAATCCCCTCTTCAACCCAAGGGGCAACCTCTGGTGTGAGGGAAGGTCCAGGTGCAAAAAGTGGGTGGAGGAACAAATGTAAATCTTGCTTTTGTACTATAGGCTGGTTTCTACACACACCTCAAGCTTCTGCAGCTCCGGAGGGCTGGTCTCGAACCAACAGATTCAGAAGAGTGACTAGTGGGGTGCCACAGGGTTCTGTCTTGGGCCCGGTCTTATTCAACATCTTTATCAACGACTTGGATGATGGACTCAAGGGCATCCTGATCAAATTTGCAGATGACACCAAACTGGGAGGGGTGGCTAACACCCCAGAGGACAGGATCACACTTCAAAACGACCTTGACAGATTAGAGAACTGGGCCAAAACAAACAAGATGAACTTTAACAGGGAGAAATGTAAAGTATTGCACTTGGGCAAAAAAAATGAGAGGCACCAATACAAGATGGAGGACACCTGGCTTGAGAGCAGTACATGTGAAAAGGATCTAGGAGTCTTGGTTGACCACAAACTTGACATGAGCCAACAGTGTGACGCGGCAGCTAAAAAAGCCAATGCAATTCTGGGCCTGCATCAATAGGAGTATAGCATCTAGATCAAGGGAAGTAAGAGTGCCACTGTATTCTGCTCTGGTCAGACCTCACCTGGAGTACTGTGTCCAGTTCTGGGCACCAGTTCAAGAAGGACACTGACAAACTGGAACGTGTCCAGAGGAGGGCAACCAAAATGGTCAAAGGCCTGGAAATGATGCCTTATGAGGAACGGCTAAGGGAGCTGGGCATGTTTAGCCTGGAGAAGAGGAGGTTAAGGGGTGTTATGATAGCCATGTTCAAATATATAAAAGGATGTCATATAGAGGAGGGAGAAAGGTTGTTTTCTGCTGCTCCAGAGACAGCGGACATGGAGCAATGGATCCAAACTACAAGAAAGAAGATTCCACCTAAACATTAGGAAGAACTTCCTGACAGTAAGAGCTGTTTGACAGTGGAATTTGCTGCCAAGGAGTGTGGTGGAGTCTCCTTCTTTGGAGGTCTTTAAGCAGAGGCTTGACAACCATATGTCAGGAGTGCTCTGGTGGTGTTTCCTGCTTGGCAGGGGGTTGGACTCGATGGCCCTTGTGGTCTATTCCAACTCTAGGATTCTATGATTCTATGAAATCACAAGAAAGGAATTTCTGAGCCATTTGGCAGTGGAATGGACTCCCTGGCGGTGGATGCTCCTTCACTGGAGGCTTATAAGCAGGGGTGGGGGCCCAGGGATTCTTCAGCTAGGATTCCTGCATTCCAACTCTACACTTCTATAAGTGTAAGTTTATAAAATTAGGCATGGCATGGAAAAAGTGGATAAATAAACATTTCTATTTATTATTTACTGAATTTATATACTGGGCGGTTCTGTGTCTCTCATAACACGAGAACTCCTGGACATCCAATGAAACTGAATGAAGGAAGATTCAGGACAGACAACAGGAAGGACATCTTCACGCAGCACCGTTAATCTATGGAACTCACTCCCACAGGAGGCAGCGGTGGCCATGATCTTCGGTGCCTTTGAAAAAGAACTGGATAAATTCATGGCAGACAGGGCCGTCGCCAAGTGCTCTTGCACCCGGGTCCTGCTTGCGGGCTTCCCAAAGCCATCTAGTCGGCCACTGCAAGGACAGGAGCCCTTGGCCTGATCCAGCAGGCCCTTCCTGTGTTCTGCTGTTGGTGGCGAGTGGTTTGCCCTACAGCCACGCTTGTGGCAAACATGGCATTGGGCAGGATCTCCCCACAGTTACTGGGGACAGTGGCAGTTGTGCTCAGCTCCCGTTTGCGCATTGGTCACTGTGAGAACGGAATGCTGCCACCCAATGGGCCTGATCCAGCACGGCTCTTCTCATGTCCTTGAGTGCAGCCAGTTTGGCTTTATAGATGAATAATTTCTCCCCTGCTGGGATGAGTGGTTTTTGCAGATTCCAGCAACAGGGTTGCTCCTTCTCCTTCTCCTTCCCCCTGGAGGGCTCCCCCCCCTCTCCCCCTCCTGCAACGATGATGCACTCTTCTCCTTTTGTCCTAATTGCTGTTGTCCCCACCACTGCATTAGATGCGCTCAAACAGCCCGCAGAGAGGTAATGTTTTGAGAAGCAGCAGGGAAGCAAATGAGACAGGCGTATGGAAATAAGCTCTCAGCCTCTCCTCAAAGCAATTACCCTGTTCCTACCCTTTCGTGCGTGCCAATTGAGTGGCGCAGAAAGGTGCTCGACTGACGGGAGAATGGTGGGGAGGGGAGAAGGGAAACATCCCCTCCATGCCTGCCACAGAGCATGATGTGCAATGTTTGGACTGCAAAATGACAGGGGTTATCCTTTGCCACTCGCTTCTCCCTGTGAGAGCCCCGGAGCAAACATAGGAACATTAGATCCTGCCTGATACTGAGTGAGACCATTGGTCCGTCTTGCTCAGTCTCGTCTACGCTCACCGGCAGCGACTCTCCAGGGATTCAGGCAGGGACATTCCCCATTTGGAGATGGGGGGGGGGTTGATGCATGGGGGTTGATGGGGGGGGAATGTGTGCAAAACACATGCTGTGCCACTGAGCTTTGGCATTTCCCAAAGTGATATTCAAGGGGCAAGACACGTTTGGCAGGCAGGCAGGCAAGGTGTTCAAAGATTTGGTCCCGCACTGACCTTAAGGAGATTTGCCAGGAATCGTCATCGTCCGATGATTGTCAAATGATTTAGTCATTGTTTAGGTCACCATGGCATAAATAAAACAATATTCTGAAGGAGACCTTTAGTTTTAGACAATGCACACCCGAGTCACAACAGGCAGCATCTGGGAAGAGGACCACCATCCCATGGGAGTGGGAAAGTGTGACATGTGCCTTCTAAAAGAACCTAAGAATAGCCTTTCCATTTCAGAAGCATACCAGAATCTGAGCTTTCAGGGCCCAAACCCGAGTCTGGTGATGTCCCACCCATACCGAACGAATGCACACCCATAATGGTCTCTTCCTTTTGAGCCCAGCCCAGTTATTTTTTCTTCCTCTGTGTGCCCTCCAACCACTAAGCCTTGGAGACGGAGGTTAATTGGGAGAGGAGAGGAGCAGGGAGGGGGAGGGGACGCCCCCGAGGGTCTATGAAATAAGCTGCAGCATCATGCAGTCTTCTTGATACCTTTTAAAAAAAGCATTCTCATCCACCTGGAAATTCAGGCCCTGCACCTGCCGCTAGGAGTGGGCTTGTCCACCTGGAGACTTCTGTCCATCCCTGGAGGTCTAGTAACCCTCCCTAGGGAGATAAGAGGAGCCTGTCTAGGGCAGCACCTCATTTCTGCCAGTGGCCTTTGAGAAACTCATAAGCAAAGCATGAGTGTCAAGTAGGGACACAGAAAGACAAGGGCCTGCTGGGTTGGGGCAATGGCCCATCTGGGGCCAGCCAGAGTCCTCATGCAGGAACGAAGCGTGAGAGCAACGCTCTCCCCTCCTGCAGTTTCCAGCCACTGGGATTCAGAACTGTTGCTGCTTCTGACTGCGGAGGGAGAGCTCAGTCACTATGGCCAGTAGCTGCTGATCCCCTTCTCCCACCCCCAGCCCCTCCCACTCATGGTCTCCATCCACTGGTCTTGAGAGATGTATGTGACCTCTGACACTAGAGGTAAGAAGAAGAGGAGTTTGGATTTGATATCCCGCTTTATCACTACCCGAAGGAGTTTCAAAGCGGCTCACATTCTCCTTTCCCTTCCTCCCCCACAAGAAACACTCTGTGAGGTGAGTGCGGCTGAGAGACTTCAGAGAAGTGTGACTGGCCCAAGGTCACCCAGAAGCTGCATGTGGAGGAGCAGAGACATGAACCCAGTTCACCAGATTATGAGTCTACCGCTCTTAACCACTATACCACACTGGTAAAAAGGTAAAGGTAAAAGACTCCTGGACAGTTAAGTCCAGTCAAAGGCGACTATGGGGTTGCGGCGCTCATCTCGCTTCAGGCCAAGGGAGCTGCCATTTGTCCACAGACAGCTTTCTGGCTCATGTGGCCAGCATGACCAAACCGCGTCTGGCGCATGGAGGACCGTGACGAGTGCCAGAGAGCATGGAAACGCCGTTTACCTTCCCACCGTAGTGGTACCTATTTATCTCCTTGCACTGGCGTGCTTTTAAACTGCTATGTTGGCAGGAGCTGGGGCAGAGTAAGGAGAGCTCACCCCATCGCAGGGATTCGAACCGCCCACCTTCCGATCAGCAAGCCCATGAGCCTCAGTGGTTTAGACCACAGTGTCATCTGCGTCCTGGCACTACATGTCCATCACTCGCTTTCTCCTCCAAGAATTTGTCTTAAGCCCCTTTCAAAGCCATCCAGGCTGGTGGCCGTATATCTTGTGGAAGAGAATTCTGCCGTCTGTCTGTGCACTGGGTGAAGAAGTCATTTCGCCCTGAAACTTCACTGCATGACCCCACTGGGTGCTAGTAGGATAAGAAAGGGAGAGAAATGCCTCTTTATTCACCTTCATGATGCCCTGAATGATTTTACCTGCCTCATTCTGCCCCTCCTTCCTCACCTCTTTTCCAAACCAAAAAGGCCCCAGTGTTGCCCCCTCTTCTCACTGGGGAGTCACTCCCCCCCCCAAAAAAATCATTCTGGCCGCCCTTTTCTGAACCTTTTCCAGCTCTGCAATCTCTTTTTTGAGGAGCAAATGCCAGAACTGAAGACACAGTATTCCAAATGCAGCAGCGCCACAGATTTGTATTAAGGGAATTACGATATTGGCAGTTTTATTTTCGATCCCTTTCCTAAGGAGCGAGGCATCCGACATCCCTGGATTTGTAAGGACTTAACCTTCCTGTCTCTGCTG